GATCTTCTGATGGAAGAAGCGCACAAGACCATGTACTCAATTCATCCCGGCAGCACAAAAATGTATAGGGACCTAAAACCCTACTACTGGTGGCCGACGATGAAGCTCGATGTTGCAAAGTATGTGGCCGAGTGTGTAACTTGTGCTAGAGTTAAGGCACAACATCAGAAACCGTATGGGAGTTTAGAACCTTTACCTGTACCCATGGGTAAATGGGAAGACATCACCATGGATTTTGTGACTAAACTGTCCTGGACGAAGAACGGTCACGACATGATTTGGGTAGTCGTGGATCGTTATACTAAGAGTGTACACTTCATAGCAGCTAATGAAAGATGGTCGATGGATAAGCTCGCTAATGCTTACGTGAAGGAGGTGGTAAGACTTCACGGTGTTCCTTTAACGATTGTATCAGATCGTGATAGTCGATTCACGTCAAGGTTTTGGAGGAGTCTACAAGAGGAATTGGGTACAAAATTGTGTTTAAGTACAGCTTATCATCCGCAGACCGATGGTCAGAGCGAAAGAACGATTCAAACGTTGGAGGATATGCTAAGAGCGTGTACCCTAGAGTTCCAAGGAAACTGGGATGAACACTTACCTCTGGTAGAATTTTCCTAGAACAACAGTTACCATTCGAGCATCAAGATGGCACCTTATCAAGCCTTATATTGACAAAAGTGTCGTACGCCATATTGTGGGCTTGAGGCTGGAGAAAAGCAGTTTATGGGCCCCGAGATAGTCCATCAGACTGCTGAGAAGCTGAAGGTGATTAGGGAAAGAATGTTAGCAGCTCAGGATCGTCAAAAGAGCTATGCTGACAAGAAGAGGCGACCGGTGACATTCGAAGTTGGGGATTCAGGTTTGCTCAAAGTCTCACCGTGGAAGGGACTTATAAGATTCGGGAAACGAGGAAACCTAAGTCCAAGGTTTATTGGACCGTTTAAAGTTGTTCAGAAGATTGGGAACCAAGCTTACAAGCTCGAGTTACCCGAAGAACTGGATGGAATTCATAACACCTTCCATGTGTGTTATTTGAGGAAGTTCACAGGAGAAGTTCCCGACATAATTTCAATCTCAGGGTTAAGAATGGATGAGAATAAGAAGCTAATCGAAGAGCACGAGGCAATCGTTGACCGTAAGACTAAGAAGTTACGACACAAGATGGTCGACTTAGTGCTAGTCCGTTGGAAACATATGAATGAGCTGAATCTCACTTTGGAAACAGAAAGTGACATGATGAGTGGCTATCCGCATCTGTTTGCTGACGCATGATTCCGGGACGGAATCATCCTAAGGGGGAGAGAATTGTAACGCCCGTGTTTCGGGGCTAAGCATTGTTAGATGATGTAATAGTCTAGGTCAACTATTGTACATCTTTTTGAAGTAATAAAAATGAAATATTTGAGTATTAATAAGAATTTGTGTGTTTTATACTTAATTATAAGGTATAAATTGAGAAAGAATAAAAATAAGCGTCAAAATTAAAGTATGATATAAACCCGATATCGATACATAAAGTTTTAGTGGTCGAAACAAGGATTTCGGGGATATAAAGAACGCTGAGATCCGAGTTATAACGAAGAAGTTATGACCTGTCGAAGTTTCGTGACAGAACCGACACAACACCGGGAAGCTTAAATAGTGAATTTAAAATAGAGCGACTTTTAGCCTTAGCGATCTAAACAAAAGTCGTAGAAAACATTAAACCGAGAGCGTCCATCAAAAAAATGCCCAAATCTGACTTCGTATGAGGAAGTTATGATTTTTCGAAGTTCGAATATCAGATCGAGCGGTTTTCAGCCGACACAAACCAAACGAGAATCAAAACTCTCATTAATAGTAGAGCAACGATAAAAGGACAGACGAAAACGGACGTCGGATGAAGAAGTTATGGATCCTTAACAGACCAACCCTGTCCCGGCCTGTTAAGAATATAACTTTTAAAATAACATCAAAATTAGCCGACAGAGTCTAAACGAAAATTGTAGAGTACGTTTCCGCCTACGCGTGGATATAAAGAGCGTCGAAAACGGAGCTCGTATGCGAGAGTTACGAATTTTTAAAGTTTAGACTCAGATTTGCGAAGCCTGTTGCTCGATTGATGACGTGGCCGAACCCCAGTCGTCCGATGAGCTCGCTTCAGATGATGACACGTCGCCCTTCGCATTACGCCCCACGTCCGAAACCAGGTACGCCCAGCGTACTTCGGCCTTGTGTGGTCCACGTAGCATCCTTATCCAATCTACGCCCCGCGTAGCATTTCCGAACGCCCAACGTTCCGAGGAGCTGAGCGCCTATAAAAAGGTTGCGAGGGTCAGCCAATTTTTCACACCTTTCAAAGCTTTCTCTCTCTCTCTCTCTCTCTACTTTCTCTCTCTAGCCCCTAAACCCTCTAAAGCCTAGGTAAGCCCCCTACCACCCGAAGGAAGCCCCGAGGCTCCCGGAGTCCCGAGAAAAAGGGTCATTCGGTTCAGAAACGCTGCTCCAAGCGAAGTCCGATTCTCGAGAAAACCCGCTGTAAGTGACTACGCCTACGCTATTTTTAATATAGCCTCTAATTAATTATAGTAACATTATTAGGACCTTAAAATAATTATTTGGGCTATTATTATGAGTTATATAAGAGTGTTGCTTAACACTTATATAATAGTAATAAAAGCCAGACTATTAATTAGTTGCGGTTAACGTTAGACTAAACCCTAGTGGTATTGATACTAGGTTTTGTCAAGAGAAAATTGTTTGAGATAACGAAGTGGTGTCCGAGTACCGAGTCACCACCTTACCAGGTGAGTGCATAGTCACTTTCATCTTACACATAGATATGAAGTATTTAATATAGATTACGTGCTATGTGTGCATATTGTCTGAATACTTGCTGTCTATGCTGATGAAAGATTTTTATACATGTTTTAAATGATTTAAACTGTATAAGTATTTTATATCTACAAAAATGTTGGGGTAAGACATGGGTAGATGTAATAGACGATGTGTGATAAAATGATGAGAGACCTCAATGTTGTTGTTGTTGATTCTGTCATCTAGCGGAGTATGGATGACGACCACAGACTCTTCTAGACAGTCCAGTGGAACACTAGCAGGCTCGCAACCTGTAGGTGTTTGTGAACGATGTGTTCACCGGTGTACTCCATCCCCCTCATGGTTTCCTTAAGGACATTTATTGCTGAGGAATCCCCTTAGCAGTAGTGTCCATCCTGATGATGATCCTTAGGCTAGGTCCCTTATGATAGGTGTTTAGGGACGTAAAGTGAGGATAACGGGAACGGGTAATCGGGTTATTATTGGTTGATGAAATTAAATAACTTATTTATTGTGGGTTGAAAACCCTTTGTGATGGGTTTGCGCCATAAGAACTTTCCTATGTGCACATGCAAACCCTAATTGCTTGGATCTAGGTTTCTCTAATTTAACATGCATTGAATCCAAGACTTGCAATACTAGATCTAATGTAATATATTGAATCTAATCATATGAAATCAGATCTGGAAGAATACCTTGAATTACTTGCTTGATACTTCTTCTTCTTGGAGCTTAGAGTCACAATTGTCACTCCTCTAATGGCTTACAAACACCAACTAGCAAGAGGATGATCTTGAGAGAGAGGGAGGAGGGATAGAAATCAGCCCTAGGGTTCCTTGGCTTGCAAGAGTGCCGATTTCTCCACCCCAAGGGTTCTATTTATACTATGAGCTATTAGGGTTTCTCCTTTAACCCTAATTGAATGACTTAGGCCCCAAGCAATCCAAGATCCTTCTAGATACAAGGCTTGGACGAATTTAAGGTTCCCAAACCCTAAATTTCATCCACCCTAATATCCATAAGGATACATAGCCCAAAATACAACTATCACACATTTGACAGTTTATGCCCTTTATTCAACTAACCTCTTTAAGTCACCAAATTAATTCTCAATTAATATATGACTTATATTAATCAAATAATATTATTATTTCTTAAATATATTATTCTCATAATATATATAAATAATATCTCTTCTCTCTTAACAAATCATCCTGTCAAGTTGCTATGGTGAAGGCAACCCAAAAGGACCATGCACAATCGGGTCAAGTACTTACCAAATATAGTTACAGCCTTAGACACTAATCCAACAGTCTCCCACTTGGATAAGTCTAGTAACTATATATGCAAACACAATCCGATTAGCAATCGTAGCTCTCAAAGACGCTGTCAAACTCTGATCTTATCAGTATCCTGTCCTTCAGATAAGGAATCGTATAATCCTCTGTTCTAGATATCGTGCGGACAATTACATGGAACATGGTCATACTTATTGTCCTTCAATTTGTTTCTCGATCTCAGATTTACTTGACATAGAACTTAATTGAACACATCAATTCAGTCCTGACCGGGCCCGACACATAAGTCAAATCAAATCATCGAGGGGCCCTGATATCGCTTTTACCCTCTTAGGATAAAAGGAACAGATAAACTTCGACTTATATGCATTTACTATCCACTAATCAAATTACACACAACAATACGTTTTATAACATCAAGTTACTGATGTGTTTGCGCATTATCAATGCATAACCAATTAATAAACAATAAACCATATATCTAGGTTTTAAGACTATATGATATTACCATCTTGTGATCACTCGTGATAAATTCCATAAAGTGATTCCAACAAGTGCGGGTTTATTCCAATGCTCAAATCAAGTTCATAAGCACTCATGAACGTTGCAGCAAACCTTTGCAATGTCTAATACACTTTAGACAATCTACACACCAATTCATGACAGTCTTCATTCATACCTACTTTCAACATATGAACGACTGTGGACTATTCGAATAATTCGATTAGTATCAAATAATTAATTACTCAGGAAGTCAAAACATGCAAAATGAAACAATAGTTAAACAATTAACATAAGACAGTAGCTTTACTTATAAATAATACTCCTTTATTTAATCATCAAATGTCAATTACATTTATCTATTACACGTTTCCAAACTATCTAATCTAAACTAATATCGTCCTTTAGCCCAATGCTCCTAGCGTGCTGCAAATGCTTAACCCTGCTAAGTCCCTTCGTAAGCGGATCTGCTGGGTTATCCTCTGACGATACCCTCTTTACAAAGAGGTGTCCTTCTTCTACTCGATGTCTAATAAAATGATATTTTATGTCGATATGTCGAGATCTACCATGATCCCTCGGTTCCTTGGTCAAGGCAACCGCTCCTTCATTATCATAGAAAATTTCTATAGGCTCCTTTATGGTAGGCACAACTCCAAGATCACCAATGAAGTTCTTCAACCACATAGCCTCCTTTGACGCTTCGCTCGCTGCAATGTACTCTGATTCGCACGTTGAATCAGCTACTGTTTCTTGCTTTTTACTTTTCCAAGTCACCGCTCCCCCATTAAGGGTAAAGACCCAGCCCGACTGCGAACGGTAGTTGTCCCTGTCGGTCTGAAAGCTGGCGTCACTATACCCTCGCACCTTTAAGTCATCACTCCCTCCGAGGACTAAAAACCATTCCTTGGTCCTCCGAAGGTACTTAAGTATATTCTTGACTGCAATCCAATGAGCTCTACCTGGGTTCCCCTGATATCTACTGACCATGCTCAAAGCAAAGGCCACATCAGGGCGAGTACAAGTCATAGCGTACATGATTGAGCCAACTGCGGAAGCATATGGTACTCGGCTCATCTCAGCTATCTCGGCTTCTGTACTAGGGCTTTGAGTCTTACTCAATTTGGTATTACTCTGTATCGGTAGTTCTCCCTTCTTTGAGTTTTCCATACTAAAACGTTTTAGTACTTTATCCAAGTAAGTATTCTGACTAAGTCTTATTAGTCTCTTACTTCGTTCTCTCACTATCCTTATCCCTAAAATATAGGAAGCCTCTCCGAGGTCCTTCATAGCGAAACACTTCCCGAGCCAGGACTTAACCTCCTGCAGAGTCGGGATGTCGTTTCCCATGAGCAGTATGTCATCGACATACAAAACGAGGAAGCTTACTATACTCCCACTGGCTTTGACATATACACATGATTCATCTTCACTTCGTACAAAACCAAACTCTTTGACTTTCTCATTGAAGCAAAGATTCCATCTGCGAGATGCTTGCTTAAGTCCATAAATGGACTTCTCAAGCTTACACACTCTTTGGGATGTTTCGCATTAACAAAACCCTCTGGCTGAGCCATGTAAACATCCTCAGCCAACTTCCCATTAAGGAAAGCGGTTTTGACATCCATTTGCCATATTTCATAGTCATGAAATGCAACAATGGCTAGCATCACCCTGATAAACTTTATCTTCGCAACTGGCGAGAAGGTTTCGTCGTAGTCAACTCCAGGAGTTTGAGTGAAACCCTTCGCAACCAATCGCGCCTTATAAGTGTGCACGTTTCCATCCACGTCGGTCTTCTTCTTGAAGATCCACTTGCACCCGACCGTCTTACGACCTGGTACATTGTCAACCAAATTCCAAACTTGGTTGTCATACATGGACTGGATCTCGCTGTCCATCGCCTCTTTCCATTTCACAGACTCTGGGCCTGCCATGGCTTCCTCATAACTATTAGGTTCATCTAGATTTATTAGTGTACCATCACTAATATACGTGTCCCCTTCGGTAGTAATATGAAAACCATAAAACTGGGGTTGAACTCTAACTCTTTCGGAACGTCTAAGAGGTAAGGACTCGTCAATTGGTTCAACTGGAGTTTCCTCCTCGGGTTGAGCGCCAGTGTTAGAGGTTCCTTCATCGCTAGATTCTTGAATCTCTTCAAGATCGACTTGCCTCCCACTGTCTCCTTAGCTTATGAGTTCTCGCTCTCGGAAAACCCCTCTCCTCGCAACGAAGACAACATTGTCACTCGGCCTATAGAAGAGATATCCAAAGGATTTCTGTGGGTAGCCGATGAATATACATCGCTCACTACGAGGTTCGAGCTTGTCGTGAGTTTCTCGTCTTACGAAAACTTCACAGCCCCAAACCTTGATATGTGCCAACGAGGGAGCTTTCCCTGTCCACATCTCGTGAGGTGTTTTGGCAACCTTCTTTGTGGGTACTAAATTAAGGATATGGGCGGCAGTCTCTAAGGTATACCCCCAGAATGAGATAGGTAGTGAAGCACGACTCATCATGGAACGAACCATGTCTAGCAAGGTTCGATTACGCCTCTCAGCTACACCATTCAATTGTGGTGTCCTAGGTGGCGTCAATTGTGAAACTATTCCACATTCCTTGAGGTAGTCGTGGAATTCAAGACTTAGGTACTCTCCACCTCGATCAGATCGAAGCATCTTGATTTTCCTGCCCAATTGATTCTCCACTTCTTGTTTAAACTCTTTAAACTTTTCAAAGGTTTCTGACTTGTGCTTGATTAAGTAGATATACCCATATCTGCTATAATAATCTGTGAAAGTCACATAGAAGCGATTTGCATCCCTTGTGGTGGATCTAAAGGGTCCTCATACATCTGTATGTATGAGATCCAATAAACCCTCACCCCTCGTACAAGTGCCAGTGAAGGGTGACTTGGTCATCTTTCCAAGTAAACAAGATTCGCACGTGTCATCTTCCCTAAGGTCGAACGACTCCAACACTCCATCCTTTTGGAGTTGGGCTATGCGCTTCTTGTTGACATGTCCAAGACGACAATGCCACAAGGATGCTTTATCGATACCATTGGAAGAATCCATACACAACACATCATTTCCTAGGTTATCTACAACCATAACAGTTTCATAAATTCCATTACAAGGCATTGCTTCAAAATATAAAACACCATTTAGATAAGCATAAATCGAACCATTCTCATTATTAAACGAATATCTAAATCCTTGTCTAAATAAACCATGAAAAGAAATGATGTTTCTTGCCATATCTGGCGAGTAGCAACAATTATTTAATTCTAAATTCAAACCATTCCTAAGCTCTAAAGAATACACTCCAATCTTGGTGACAGGCGATGTTCTTCTGTTTCCCATGATCAGATTTATTCTTCCAAGCTCCACATCCCTATTTCTTCCTAGTCCCTGCAAATCAGAACAAATGTGGTAACCACACCCTGTATCAAGAACCCAAGAAATAGCATGAGATGAATCATTAGATTTAATTGTGTAAATACCTGCGAAAGATGGCTTGATCTTCCCATCCTTGATGGCTTGCAGATATTCCGGGCAGCTTCTCTTCCAATGCCCTATTTTGTGGCAATGGTGGCACTCTGCCTCCTTTGGGTTTGGGTTGGGCTTAGCAGGATCAACCTTGGTCCCACTAGAAGAGGAACCATTTTGGGACTTTCCTTTGTGGTGGTTCTTTGAAAAAGCCTTCCTCTTCTTGCCCCTTCCCTGTCCAATAGCCAAAACAGGAGCAATGGGTGGATTAGGAGTTGGTGCAACAGACTTGTCCTTTAGGTTGCTCTCAGCAGTCCTCAGGAGCCCTTGGAGTTTGCTTAGGGTGACCTCTTCCTTGTTCATGTGGTAGGTCATCCTAAATTGGTTGTAGCATGAGGGCAAGGAGTGAAGAACAATGTCGATAGCCAAATCTTCCCCAAAGTTGACATTCAACTTGCGAAGACGATCAACATACCTTTGCATCTTTTGCAAGTGCACAGTTAGAGACTCTCCACTTCCCATTTTAGCAGTGATCATATTTGTTATGATCTCATAGCGCTCTTGCCTCGCGCTTTGGTGATACCTCTCCATCAAGTCTAGATGCATCTCATAAGGATACATGTCCTCATAGGACTTTTGGAATTCTGAGTTCATTGTGGCTATCATGATGCAATGGACCTTCGTTGCATCACGCTCATGGTTCTCAAAGACAGCCATTTCTTCAGGAGTAGCAGTTTCTGGATTGACCTTCTCGAGCTTCTCATCGAGAACATACTCTTTGTCCTCGTAACGCGCGATCGTGTGAATGTATCTTATCCATTCGCTAAAGTTCGTTCCATCGAAAGTCACCTTTTGACAAAGGCTCATTAGGGGAAATGAGCTAGCAGTAGCGTTGTTCATGTTAGACATCTACAAATAGAAGGAAACAAAGTTTGATTAGATTAAGTCCCTAATTAACACCCAAAAAGAAAATTAGGGCTAGGACCCAACAACATTATTTACACATTAGAAAAGGGATGCCGTAATCCAATATGCAAATAATTTGGACGTAAGTGAATGACGATTCACTAATTCTTCACCATGAAAACATAAGCTTTAAGTTTTAAATGTATTGAGAATTCCTAGATTTCTTTGAGATTCATTGAACTTTTCAATGGCATGTTTAAATCTCGATATGCCCCTCTCGTTTGTGACTGGGATGCCGAGGATCACAAAGTGGGTGTGAATAACCATGCAAATGTACATGGTGCCCTCATTGTTACAATTACCTATTCAATGTGTTGGTTAACCACACACGCTCCATTGAACTATAACAAACAGTGAGTCACCCTTTGCCACCTTTGCTTAGAACCCAATTAATGTACCGGTTAACCACACACGCTCCATTAATGTCTTAGCAAGGGTACAAAGTGTAATTTCATGGGATTGCATCAATTCACTTTTCCTAAAGTAACTAAGATTGGGAATTTTATAAAACATGTTTAGTTACTTTATATAGATTCATTATACTTATTAATGAGATGAGGTTGCCCTATCCTACCCGTTCGGCTAACGACCCTCCACCAGTCAAGCAAGCGGTGGGTGTGAATGTACACCCATTAAGCGCCATTTTATAAGCAGCAACCTTATACCCACCTTATAGACCGGCTTCGTGAATGAGGCCTACTAACGGTAAGACTAGCATTTTAATTATACATATATATTAAGCTTGTAATAATATAATAGTATAGTGTTGAATTTTAAACTTGTAAAATTCTAGGGATTGAAATTTAAATTATTCAAATTAAACATTTAATCACAAAATATAAATTTCAAAGCTTGAGGACAAGACTTGAATTTTTTCAAAACATAAGGATCAAATAGCAAATAATATAAAATCAACTAATTAGATTATCTCAATTTGATCTTATTTAATGTTACTTGCAAAACAATTCACCAATTCAATTCAAATAATCAACAATAATCATATAAGGAAATTATTATTCAACTAATTGGTAATTATCTTTTGTTAGGTCAAGAATATACTCATATATATTATTAAAATCGGATTTTAATGACCCAAAACAGATAAGGCAAGTATCCTCAAGAAAAACAGCAAGAAATCGCCGAGTTTCTCAGGCAGTCTCACAAAAATCGAATTTTTTAAGCAACAAGCAATCAATCAATGCATCAATTCAATAGAAATCAATCAAAGCTCTGATACCACTGATGGGTTTGAGCCATAAGAACTTTCCTATGTGCACATGCAAACCCTAATTGCTTGGATCTAGGTTTCTCTAATTGAACATGCATTGAATCCAAGACTTGCAATACTAGATCTAATGTAATATATTGAATCTAATCATATGAAATCAGATCTGGAAGAATACCTTGAATTACTTGCTTGATACTTCTTCTTCTTGGAGCTTAGAGTCACAATTGTCACTCCTCTAATGTCTTACAAACACCAACTAGCAAGAGGATGATCTTGAGAGAGAGGGAGGAGGGATAGAAATCGGCCCTAGGGTTCCTTGGCTTGCAAGAGTGCCGATTTCTCCACCCCAAGGGTTCTATTTATACTATGAGCTATTAGGGTTTCTCCTTTAACCCTAATTGAATGACTTAGGCCCCAAGCAATCCAAGATCCTTCTAGATACAAGGCTTGGACGAATTTAAGGTTCCCAAATCCTAAATTTCGTCCACCCTAATATCCATAAGGATACATAGCCCAAAATACAACTATCACACATTTGACAGTTTATGCCCTTTATTCAACTAACCTCTTTAAGTCACCAAATTAATTCTCAATTAATATATGACTTATATTAATCAAATAATATTATTATTTCTTAAATATATTATTCTCATAATATATAT